AGATACTGGCAAACAGAATGGAGCAAATCATCATAAAGATCATACATCATGACCAGGTAGGCTTCATCCCAAGAGTGGAAGGATGGTTTAAGGTACACAGTTCAATAAATGTAATGTATCACATAAATAGAAGCAAGGACAAGAAAATCATATAATCATTTGATGAAAAAAAAAAAAATAAAATAAAATCCAACATCCACTCCTGGTAAAAATCCTGAAAAAAAATAAGTACAGAAGGACTGTATCTCAGTCTGATAAAAGCATATATGACAAACCTCTGCCAACATTACATTTTTTTCCAATATCATATTAAGGAAAAGCTGATGGCTTTCCTTTAATAAATCAGGAATCAGACAAGGATATCCACTATCAACATTTCTGTTCAATATAGCACTGGAAACATTAGCCAGAGCAATTAGACAGGGAAAATAAAAAAGGGGATATGTATAGGAAAATAAGTGAAATTATCATCGTGTGCAGATGATATGGACCTCTACAAAGAAGACTTTAAAAATTCCACCAAAAGACTCGTAGACTTAATAATCAAATTTAATATCTAGCAGGATACAGAATCAAATACAAAATCAATAGTATCCCTTTACAGCTCCAAAGAATTCACTGAAAAAGAAATTACAAAAACAATACATTCACAGTACCTTCAAGAAAAATAATTAGGAATGTAACCAAGAAAGTGAAAGACCTCTGCAATGAAAACTATAGTAGGAAATTGAAGGAGACATCAGAGAATGGAAAAATGTTCACAAATTTGTATAGGCCCAACTAGTGTTAAATTGGCCAACTTCCAAAACTGATGTGCGGATTGAATACAGTCCCAGTCAAAATACAAACAGCATTCCTCAGATAACTGGAATCTAAAATTTCTATGGAATCATAAGACACCCAGAACAGCAAAAGCATTCCTGGTCAACAAGAACAAAGCAGAGGGCATCAGAATGCCAGATTTCAAATCTTATAGCAAAGCTATAGTGATAAAAGCAGCATGGTCCTGGCACAGTAACAGAAAGGTGAGTCAGCTGAACACAAGAGATAATGCTGAAACAACATAGGCATATCTGGCCATCTGATCTTTGACACAGGATCCAAATGCTCGAGGAAAGATAGCCTCTTTAACAAATGGTGTGGAGAATGCTAGCTATTAACATGTAGAACATTGAATCCAGACATATTTTTCACTGTGTCCTGAACTAATCAAAATGGATCAAAATTTAAATATTAAAACAGAAACAATCTACTGGAAGGTAAAATAAAATTTTTGAAGTCATAGGTAGAGGCAAGAACTGTCTGAATAGAACCCCAGTTGCACAAGAAATAGCGTGAAGAATCAACAAATGCAATGATATCAAACTGAAAAGTTTCTGTACAGCAAAGGAAACAACCAATAGAGTGAAGAGACAACCTATGGTATTTTGCCAGCTACTCTTCTGACATAGGACTAATATCTAGAATATATAAAGAACTCAAAATATTAGACCCCTCCCAAAAAGAACCAATCAAAAGGTGGGCAAGTGAAATGAATAGACTCTTCTCAGAAAGACAGATGGTTAATAAATACATGAAAAAATGTTCAATATCTTTGGTTATTAAAACAACACAAAACAATAGATTTTATCTTGTTCTATAAAAAATGGCTGTCTTAATAAATGTTGGCAAGGCTGCATAGAATAAGAAATGATTCTATATTGGTGGGAATGTAAACTAGTATAGTCATAATGGAAATCAGTATGGAGTTTCCTCAAAAAATAAAACCTAGAAATTCTGTTCAACCCAGCAATTCCTCTTCTAGGTATCTTCCTGAAAGAGATAAGGACATCATATTACAGTGATCCATGCCTACCTGTGTTTATAGCAGTGCAACTCATAATAGCCAAATCTTGGAAGCAGCTCCTGTGTCCATCAATTGATGAATGCGTGAAGAAAATGTGGTATTTACACCCAGTAGAGTACTGTGGTGCCGTAAAGATGGATAAACTTGAGGCATTGGTAGGAAAATGGATACACCTTGAGACAAAAATGTTAAGTGAAATAAATCAGACACACAAACTTTTACACATGGTTTCTCTTACATGAGAAATCAATAAATATAAATAAAGAGCAAAATAAATGATAGATAATAGGAAATAGGGTGGTAGATCTTTTGCAAAAAGGAGGGGCACCAATAGAGAAAGGGAAAGGAGAGGGAGGGGAGGAGAGGGGGTGAAAAGAGAATTAAGATGTGTTATGTTCATTCACTCTTCATGATGAATGTAATGATCATGTACTGTAGACATGTACTAATAAAAAATTTTGAAAACTCTTTACAGTGCTATCCACATAGTAGGCACTTAATATTTGTTTTATTTACTCTGTCACAATTTAATGATGAAACACAATTCCATAGAAGAGAAAGACAATTAGTGGATTATCTTTGGCCTTTGTGTGCCTCTGTTAGAGCTTTCATCAGTTTGAGATGTTATGCCTTAATTAGAACTGTAAGTACCCATGAATAAATTTAAATGATGATAAATTTCATAGATAATGTTTCTAATTCATATGCCTCAGTCTCCTTTTCTCTGTACCAACACTGTAATCAAGGTACAGGGTCTTATTTAAGCTAACAAATAATTATCCTTCATTACATAAGTAGTATGTAACTTGACCTTAAAAGCGTGCTTCCCTTGACAAGATGGCAGTGAATCTAGCCACCAGCTGTGCTTGTACTTTCACAATTCCTTGATACCTGTGAGTAGGAGCTGATTCTGCAAGAGACGAGAAAAGCCATTGCTTTATACTTCTTTATCTCAACTGGAATCTTTGGTATTTTCAGATCATGCAAGTGCCTGGTTTCTTATAAATGATTGTCTGTTTTAGGTTTAAAATACATTTGAAGTTTTTGTTTATAGACTTCAAGCCATTTAAACATACAGTTTCTGAGATGTACTTATCCAATGCACTTAGCTACTTGTTGCTTATCTGTTATGGCTTTAAACAGATAAAAATAAAACCTTGACAAATGAAAGGTGGATATATGTATGAAGTCGTTTGGAAGTAGAAAAATATAGTATTAGATACTACAAATGGGTTTAAATTGTAAACCAAAGAAGATTTAAGTGAATTTTTCTTGGTTCTTGAATGGTCAAGAAGTAAGCAAGAAAACAACGGAAAGAGTAAATGAGAAAATAATGTTAGATTTAAAGTAGTCACAAATCACAACCCTTCACTGTGTTGAAAAAATCCAGCTAATTGGATTTTAAAAATACATGCCTAACAAAAGTGTGATGTCTGTCATATATGAAAAACTCCTCTCTCAAATCAGTAATAAGGTATCTAAAATAAATTGTTTTATAATTATTAATAATTAATTTTTTTAAAATGTTGTGTGTTGTGTAGTCTTCATTTGTTCATTTAATCCTTATAATAATTCTTTAAGATAGAAGCTGCTGTCATTCCATTTCACAGATAAGGGACCTAGGGCACTTGTTCATGCTGATACAGGCAGTAAGTAGCTAGTAAACTGTGTCCTGTTTCGAGCTCTATGGCTGGCCTTTTGATCTCAAGATTGTGGCTTTCAGTTCCATGCCCTTAACTGCTGTCTTACACTGCGTAAAGTCAGTGAAGAACAGGAAAGGGAGAATTATCAGTGTTACTAACAGCACAAATGCAAATTAATTTTTTTTTTTATACTAATAGAGTGATGAGAATAAAACATATTTTGGAGTAGTGGTGGAAATACATAGCCACAACTCCTTATGAGCAGAAAGATTCCTATGCCTGGGGACCAGTGCTGCAGGCTGGAAGTAGGCAATTTGCCATTGTCTTTTGTCGTTCTTCTGGAACTCTGAGGAAAAGATCAGTGTTACCTTGTGGTGATGCGTTTGAACTTTAGACTTATAGTTGGTTATATTCATGGCTGTAAGCTTACGTACAAAATTGTCCTTTCTCCAAATGAGAGGGATCTGGCCAGTGACAGCTACATGTGTATAGAAAGATGACAAAGATGACTGAGGGTTTTAGTGTTTTTCTTTTTTAGGAAGGTTCTCAAGAAATTGTATATGAGTTTTCAGCTTTGATAATATATGTTAAATTGTAAGTTAATTTCATTGTGGCATCACGGAATTTGAGAGTAATTTCATGAAGCTGATCTCAGTAGCCTCAACTGTTGACAAGTGATTTTTAATGTTTAGTTTGGTATAAGATACTGGGAATGTAGATCTAATTCCTTTATTCAAACTCAGTAAATGGTTTAGGACAATTAATTTCCAATTGTTTCCCAGTAGAGCAGATTTACTTGTATATTAATGAGGCACAGGTGTTAGGCCCCTAGTGTCTGCATGCCTGGGAGGCATATTTCAGTTGTTTATCCACTCAGCCATAGGTACTGCAAGGTATACAGGCTTGCATTTAACAGTTTTTACAATGAAGCCTTTTGATTTTTTTGATGTTTTCTTCATATTTGCCCACACCTGTTAAAATTTTTTCACTGATCATATATAAAGAATTGCAGTAAATAACACCAAACTTAAAAGTAGTCTTCTGTTGCACTGTACTTAAATACCCAGCCTAACATTAGAAAGAAATGGTTTTGTTCAAACACATTTCTAATGAGAAGCAGCTATAATCAACAGCATACTTTTTTATTTTATATTTTTGGAGCAGGTTTATCTTTGTAAATGTCCATATCAGTCATATATTTTTTGTATTTCTTTTTGTTTGTTTATTCACTAAACTGCAATACCAACATTTTAGAGGAAATGGAATAGCCTCCATAGACATTATGAATTTCAGTAGCTGGCTTAATTATAGCTATCTACTACATATTCATTAAATCTACAGAAGAACAGTGTCCAAAAAGACAGCCATGCATTTAGAAACAGAACAACTAAGTATATACATTTTAAAAGTTGCATTTCTTAGATTTATTTAAAATTAATTTTCTATGATACTGTTCTCTAAGCAGAAGAATTTTTCAAAAGGATTTCCATGCTTTGATTTCTTTCAAATAGGAAAGAATGGGAAGAACTATTTGTAAACAACAATTACTTGGCAACAATAAGGCAGAAGGGGATTAATGGGCAGCTGAGAAGCAGCAGGTTCCGCAGCATTTGCTGGAAGGTAAGAAAAAAATATTTATTTACAGTTTGTGGTTGCAATATATCACCACATTACCTGATGCCCTAGAAGATTACCCATACAGGGTGGGGGTGAGAGTGTGGATAATAGAATTTTCCAAGAGACTTTGTTCCCAATATTTTGCCGATCACGTTTAATCTTTCATGGGACATTTATTAATAAGGTTGAACTAACTTAGTCCTGAATAGTGATGGTAAAAGGAATTATTTGAAATAACTGTCTTGTCTTTTCTTTTGATGTCACAAATTTCAGAGCAATACCATTATATTAACTAAAAGCCTTTAAAGAAATTCTTGAAGCTGGGCAGGAGTTGGGGTGGTGGATAACTTTCAGGTTCCTATTATGGCAAATGTTTTCATTTAGTCATCCTCCCTTTTTTCTTCTTAAAAAGAAATGGAGAAGATTTTTATATTTTGTTTGCTAGAAACAAAGGACAATAAGAAGGAGAAATGGAAGGAAATTGGGTCAGTTTCCTTCTGAGGGAAAGGGTCATTGCTTGCCAAAACTAGCAGTAATAGTCTGCAGTTATCTTTTTAATTGCTTTGAAAAATTGTCCCTTTTTGGTCTCCAAAAATGAATTAATTTAGATTTAGGCTCATTTTTAAAATGACTTTTATCAAAAGTTTTAAGGGTTATCTGCATAAACTGAGCATGTGGTGTCTGTGCAAGTCAAGACAGCAAGAAGTGCACGATATATTAGACAGTTACAGATTTAATAATTTAGAATTGATAATTAAAGTACATTTTTCTTTTGTTAGATGCAGGCAGTAAAGTTAGGAGACCTGCTGCTAGAGTATTTGTATACAAATATTTGTGCTGCACCCTTGTTTCCTGTTGTTTAACTTTTAGAATCCTTCATTTGCTAACAATAAACCTGAATCCAAATTTATTTTAATGTCTCATTAAGCTATAGTAAATCAAATTTGTCTTTTTAAGAAGTTATTTTCATAAACCAGTTGCTAGTTATAAATTACATTTCTGCTATAAAAAGAATGACTACTTCATAGACTGTGTCCTAAGTACTCAAACTGTTTTTCTTTATCCTTTAACTACTTAAGAAAAAACTTTAAATCTAGAAATTACTAATTATATATTATATTCTTAATAACTCTGTCACTCCCAGTAAAATCAGAATGCAAAATGGAAATTTTACTTAAACCTCAATGAATTTTTGCTCATTTTAAAACTAATCTGGAGCCTTCTGTGGTTTTTCTCTGTGGTGTAGCTTTTGAGACCTCGGCCTTGGCCTTTTGTTGCTTAGTGTTGAATTTTCTAATTATATATTTCTTAAATATTCTCAAATACAAATTACTGAGAATTGAAATTGAAATTGAAATGATGATATTCATATGAAATTTTATGAATGATATATCTCTCAATTTTTTTGGTGATTCTGTTGGCCTACTTTCACATTGTACTTATAATTTTTACAAAAATTTTCCCTCGTTTTTTTCCTTGACAGCTGTTTCTTTGTGTTCTTCCTCAAGATAAAAGTCAGTGGATAAGCAGAATTAAAGAATTAAGATTATGGTATAGCAACATTAAAGAAATAGTAAGTAAATAGTAAGTGTAATTAATGAACTGTTTTCTTCTGTATTCAGATAAGTACTCTCTGATCTGTAAGTGTATGTATTTTATTTCTTTACCAGCATATCACAAACCCCAGGAAGGTCGTGGGGCAGCAAGATTTGATGATCAACAATCCCCTTTCACAGGATGAAGGGGTAAAGTTTGTCTTTATTTTTATCTCAACCTCTTTTACGTATAACAGTATGCTTATGTAACTGGTTAAAAATCAGTAGTGAGAACAATGTATTTCATGTCAAATATTTTCTTTACTCCACATATATTACCTAAAACCTGGTAGAAATACTTCTGTTGTATGTTTATATACTGTGCAATAGGAAGTTTATAATTTACTTCTCTAGAATGGCACTAAAGAGAAATCCCAGTGGTCTGTCAGAACTAAGAGTAAAATAGAAGAGCATACTGCACTATCTTCGTCAGTTTACAGTGGGGACTAGGGTAGCTAAGAAAAGCCTCCATTTGAAAAGAGAAGAGAAAAGAGTTCTCCACTTAGAACTAACTCCCAGAAAGGAAGAAGTACCTATTTGTGTATGTGAAGAAGTTTTTGAAGAAGCCAGGAAAAACATCAGAGCTACCTCTACTCATGTTCCAGTGAAGACTGAGAATAATTATTACTTTAGAGATTTTTGTGTAATTTATGGACTAGGGAGAAAACTCAGCGGTAGAACCCCAGCCTAGTGTATGTGAGGCCCGTGGTTCAAACCCACTATAGAAAGAGGAAGGGAGGGAGGAAGGAAGAAGGGGGAAGAGAGGACAGGAGAGGGAAGGGAAATGGAGGGGGATATTAATTGAGAGAGTTTGTATAACTTTAATTGTTGCTACTGTAATTCCTACTTGGCTGAGAATAGAAAAATATTTTTCCTATTTAATAAATAATATTGGAATTTCTTTTTCCTGTTAGATATAATTAGTACAATATAGTCTTTGGTATAGCAATCTAAAATATTAAGTAATTTTTAAAACTTTACCTAAGTTCCCATTTCAAAACCTACATAAAAGCCTTTTATATTATAAATGTAGCATTATAGAAAACATTGTATATCTGTCTTAATGCATTAGAAATTCAGATGAGGTTCATCCTGCAACCTGTTGGCCCATAGGTCTGTTCTAGTCTACACACCTTTGTGTGTATAGGGATAGTAGCGTGTGAACAGCAGTAAAAAGGATCATTTACTTTATAGAGATAATAGAAATTTTAAAAATACATATACGAATATCAAGTTGGAAATATTGATGTTAAAATAAAGATTTGAGGTTAAAATAGATTTTAATAAGAATTATTCCAATCTCAGATTTCCTGAGAACCCTGAACTGAGTGTAGAGGAGCATAAATTAATCACTTAAATTGTTAAATTGAACTCATAAAAGTCAGGCAAAGATGTGAGATTATTTCATTTAGTTTGTTCTTATTTCAGAGTCTTTGGAACAAATTTTTCCAAGATAAAGAACTTCGATCAATGATTGAACAAGATGTCAAAAGAACGTATGTAGAACTTGTTACTACCAATAATTGTTGTTTTCTCTTTGTAATTCTAACAAAATGTAAAATCTGGGGACTGGGGATTTAGCTCAGCGGCAAAAGCGCCTGCCTGGCAAGCGCAAGGT